GTCGATAGATCTTTTTAAAACCTACAACTTTCTCATTTAAAATTTTTCAATCCGTGCTATATTTTTTTAGTTATTTTAGAAAAACCGGTTTTTTTCAACTTTGCGATTTTTTTTAACCATGTTCGCCATATTGGATCGAGTTTAAAGAACAAGAAACTCAATTTAAAATTTAATTTTCTATACGGTCATATTTTTTTTGTCCAGGTAATAATTTCTGTAAGCATTTCTCTATAATGCTTGGACTAAGAAGCGCGAACATGATATCACCTTGGCATGCACTAAACCATAGACCTTATAAATTACTCTCAATGATAGAATTATAGTGATCTGTACACAGAATTCTAGTTCATCATAAAAATGTAATAGGCCGTCACAATCGCTCTAGTGCATAGACCTTATAGCGGCTTCCCGCCTACCAAGTAAATACTCTATAAATTCCTATGATATTTAAATTAGATTGAGAAAAAAAATACTTTGGACACTCATCTTAAAAAGCCACGAGCCGCCTGGCTGGTACTTCGCACAATCCTTCGCCAAAAATCTGAAAGAAATTGATTCAAATTATTAAATTAACAGTTGGAATATAGAAAATAACCGGCAAATATCAGGATTAACAGGCAACTTGAATTGCCAAAAATTAATAAATCTCCAACCAAACGATTTAGTGATAATGAAAATCCTGCAGGAACACCAGATAATTGGAAACCATTGGAGACTAACGCAGATTGTAGAAACAAACCTAATGTTTTCTTGTTTTAGATAAACGGTTATGCCATGAGTTTCCGGAAGCCAATGATTTACTGCAATCTTTTATGTAATAAATGTAATGTTTCATATGACTTTTTCAAACAAAATACTGCCTAAATTTATTATATTATATTATATTATTTTATAGATTTATATCCCTCAAATGTCTTGAAAATAACTTACACCTGGTATAATATTCCAACATCCTCAGTATGGAGGTTAGGCTACCCTCCATAATCCTTAGGCTGTCCTGAGAATAGCGTATAGTCCAAATCGTCCCTGGTATATCTGGGGGATATACTGATTTGTAATACTTATCTCCTGAAGATGCTATGGCTAGACAACCCAAACCGTACCTACATCCTTGGATCATAAGGTCCCATCAGATATTCTGAGGATATCCTCGGAACAAATTTATAATATGTGGGTTTATATTAAATAAAATATAAGTATTAAATAAAATATGTATTTTTTTGAAAATGATACCATATCTTAAAATGTTCGTCATCTAAGGGATCAAGAAGTGAGAATTAATTATTTGTGAGCATATTAAGTACCCACTGAAATGTCCATGTAGTAATACGTATATAGTGTCTCAGAATATTGTGGGCAATCTCTTGGATTTATACAGGGAATGTTAAAATAACATGACAAGTTAAAATTTTCCCTAAGAGGCCGCCCTACGGAGATACAGGCCCTTAAAGGACGCCCCTGGAAAACGATTTTTTTAATAACTTTTAAAATACTTTGTGTAAATTAATTATTTTTAGGGAAAAAAATGTAAACAAAAATAGCATATTTTTAGATAGGCACAGAAATAAGAATGCAAATTTTATCGGTTTATTTCTCTTTACGGATGTAATAAAAATCATATTAAACAAAAATATTTTTTCTCGAAGACAGTTCATTTTATTGATGTTCTTTTTAGTTTAAGGTGCAAGCTATCTAAAAATATTATTTTTAGATAGCTTACGGAGATGATAGAAACAGGCATCGCAGAGTGTAAAAAAATTGATATTATTGTGCTACAGAGTTAGTCCGTCCCTGGCAAACCAAATAAGTCAAATTGTTTTCATGGGTCAATTTTTAAGGAGTCTTATCTGTCCATCGTATTAAAAAATTATTAAATTACACAAAGTACCTATTTTTAAAGTTATTTAAAATAAATCGATTTTTAGGGGCGTCGATCCCTTAAGGGGGACTCTAGGGAAAATTTTTATAGGGACCTGTCATGTTATTTTAACGTTCCCTGTATAAATCCGGGAGATTGTCCACATATTCTGGGACACCCTGTATATATATAAGTGGTAATGGTTCAGCAATTAATTACAACCACAGTTATGTGTCACGATCAGGTCTTTTTACCACCAGGCCTGCGAAAAAAGTTTCAGGTTCAGGTGTCGCTCCCTCTTGACAAACCCTGGTCTAGAGATCAATATTTTTCAAATAATTGAAATAAAAAAGCTGGGGATGAAGTAAATAATGATAGTCATCCAAATGTTCTAAATCTAATGTATGAAAAACTGTCTATCTAATATCCTCTTTCATTATGATAATAGAAATTTAATGTTTAGTTTAGTTTGTGATATATGGCTAAATCGATTAGTAATGACGGAAACATTAAAATAGGTAGTAATTATGTAGTAATCTTTTATTGAATCATATCGCGTTAATTTCGAATCATGGGAATGCAGCTTCGCAATTTTAATTTTTTTGTGAGCTTGGTGTTTTAAACAATACTGGAACAAAGAAACAAATTCAGACCTTATTTATTTATTCTGATATGTAAGTATCTGTATTCTACTTCACCGTGCCGTATAAACGAAGTCAAGGGCTGCAATAACCTGCGTTTGCGCTCATCGTCTCGCTTTCCATCTGTCCCTCTCTTTATTCATCTTGTTACCATTTTAGAGTCCAGTTTTTCTGTCTCTCATTTTTGTCACAATTTTGACTTTTGTTTGCGTATGCGTTGTAATTTCGTTGAGTGTTAGTTGGTGCAGTGCATTTGTTTTCGCTAGATAACGTGTTTGTTATAGTATTATTGCTTTGACTCAACAAAGACTCTAAAGAAATGACTGACAAGAAAGGTAAGACGATCCGTTCAAGTTAAAGATGGTGGCTAGGTGTAACTTCAAAATAGGTACGATTTTTATAGAATAAATAAACAAGCAATGGACGCCCATTGAGAAGGAAAAATTACTATTTAAGTAGTACAGTACCTAAGTCAATGCGGAGCTAGAATTGGGCGAACATACATTAAAATTGCATAATAATATGCAGGATGTTTGAATCAATACTAACAGTTAGGTTATCTCTGTCTGTATCAGGTAACCTAGATGTTCTAACTCATTCTCTCCCATGCCTCTCTCATAGCCTTGTCCTACATTGCAAAGTACTGCAGTACAGATTAGGGATTTTAATGTTTATTGTATTTAGGAGGGCAAGTTGATCACGAAAGTTATGTTACTTGCAGCGCCTGGTTTAAAAGCTACAGAGGAGGACGAGCAGAGCCACCCCGGACGCCGACCACGAGACAAACAGTACCTATTTATTTTCATGTGTTTAATACAGTGGCTGATGCTTGTTGGTTATCCCGCTCAACGATTTACCTTCACTAGATTTTTTTTGGTTGGGAATTGTGTGCAACCCTGCATTTTTTCACTCGATACTGGCCGTGCGAGAACAGATGTTTCTCATTTCGTAACACTTCGTTGCTTGTAATTACAAATCTCGGAGGTCACGTCTATTTTTGGATAGCGAGCTTTCGAAAAAAAAATCGTTTGTATTTGCCAGCGAACGAAACTTGAATTCAATTAAAAATTTTCACGGAAACATTTCACTCGTTTAACTAGTGAAAAACAATGGCTTGTTTGTAGGTACGAATATGAACTTAGATAGCAACCATGATTATTTGTGAGGACTAGGTATTAACCTTGTATACTTTGACTTACGTAGGGTAGCAATTAATTGGATTTAATAAATCGCAAGAAAAAAATTACTATTCAAAACTCGAGAAAAGATCGAACAGGTTTCAAATAACTACTTATAATCATAATCCATACCAAAATATCTGGCATCTCGTTTTAAATGGATGTTGGTTTGATTTCTAAGAATTATATGTGTGTTGTATATAGGTAGGTACCTATATTTAGTATAAATTAAAGTATTTCTATGATCGAATCTAGGTATCATAGGATCTAGGTATCATCATATTTTTACAACTACTACAATAATATTGTATTTAGTTAACTGATTGAGAAATTCGTATCATTAAGTTTTTTATTTACAATAAATAAAAAAGTCAATAAATTTGTAGGTATATTATAAGTGAATCGTGTTTTTTACAGGGTGATATTTTTCCAACTAACTGAAATTTGTAAATAATCTTAACATTGTTTATTTATGGCCAATATGATTTTCAGAAGCGATTCAAGTAAAATATGTTTCAATGAATGAGCATAGTAAGTATACTAGTATTTTTTGGTAAAATACCCTCGGGTCTGATGTTAAATCTGGCTCAGTCCGCATTATAGCAGTCTTATGAAAATCTTTTTTTCCTATTATATATTCTTTTTTGTAAAAACATTAACAATAAATAAATTGGTGTAACCTAGTGGAATTAAATCTATAAGTATTAGGTATTTTGTCCCGTGACAAGTTTTTTATTTTTTTTATATTTTTTAATTACTGAAATATTTTGAAAATTTTCATTAATTTTTTATTCATTAGAAGGACATATATTGACTATATTTAAAGTCTACTATTTTTTTTTTTTTAGATAAATGCTCGCGAATTTTTAAAGCCCTTTGGTATTGGCATACAAAATTCAATGTTATTTTTCTTCCAAATTTATATTTATAAAAACAATAAAATTTTATATAATGAATATTTGTGCTGTCTGATATTGAATAACTATTTGCAGTAGAAGCTTGCACAGGAAGTTAAAAAACATGAAATGGTTGTGAAATCAAATAACAAGAGATTTGATTTTTGTTAACTTTTTAATTGTTAAAATCAGTTTTTAATAGAAGGAAACTGCAGGAATAATTTGATGTACCTACATGATTGAGTAATGTTTGTATAATAACGTTTCAATAATACTTCCGTAATTCGATTATTTATATCCCTCGAAGGCATGCATCTGAATTTATTGATAAACTCAAAACCAAGAATTATCCAAGTTATTTTTGCACAACAGGGTTGTTGACTATAAAAACAAACCATATACAAATTGTTGTTGATACAAAGATTTTATATAAAAGAACCTGCCTGTATAGTCAAATTTTAAATATATGACAAATTAGTGGTAGAAATCATTTATGAATTTTTGTGTTACTTAAAAATTAGTATGACGTCATAAGGGGCAATTAAACAAGAAGCTAATAGCGATCCTATTGCATAATTTTGAAGAAGAAAATATATCAAAATTGTCCATCAAACCCTGTTACCCTGTTTCCTGTTTTTTAAACAAAAGTGACAGTAGTGACACTAGTGACAGCAGTCTATCAATTAAGAGTATTTGTGATAGTTATTATTAATTTCCTGATTGTAATGGATTCAACAAAATTTAAGTGGTGTTTTGTTCCACATTCCACATTCCACATAGCCAATTGCATTATCTCCATAAGACTCCCGAACTGCACTATAATTTTCCGTAAATAAATAGGTATTTATATTTATTATTTATATTATAAATAAACACAATAAAATCATTCATTAAATATGTTAATCCTTACCTGACTGCTTTTATACCTCTGATTTCGCCAATATTAAAACGGTCGTCTCTTTTTAAAAATTCAATTCATGATCATAAAAATATCAATTTTCGGTAAAATTTGCGAAGTAGCTTTCACAAATCCCGTTTCACACATTCTGCTTTAATTCTAAGGGAAGTAAGATATTATATGATTATTACTAAATAATAATTTTACTTAATAAAGGAATTCGAAGATTAAGGAAAATAACTAAGTAGACTTGAAAATATTTTATGCCACAATGTCACTGACAGAGTGACACTACTGACTGTTGACAGAACATCTTCTTCCTCCAATTTTTTTCCTTTACGCAATCATCTACACATAATTTCACTACAAGGTACCCCATATGACGTCACAGCCGTTTTGAAATATTATAAAAAAATCAGTTTTAAATAATTATTTTAAAACTGTTCCAACGCATTTGTCAATCTCTAATTTTGCATACACACTAATTAGTACGTGTAGAATTATATTATCTACTTTTTGAAATTTGGTCATTTTGAAAAATATTTCTGTCTAGCGAGTTTATAAGCATAACATTTAAAATTAAGTATAACCTATTTTTCTGTTATGTTAAAATGCAAAATAAAATTAAATATATAGTTTATAATATTAAGAGCTTGAAATATGATTAATATCTAATATATAATTTTCAAAGATAACAGGTCTATTCATGCATTAAATCTAATATATTTTACCTCGTAATAATAATAAAATGTCTTAGGCTACTATTTCATACTTCTATCACGAAGAGTGGAAATCTGTTGTCTATTTCCCATTCCTCGCATTTCGTTCTTTTGTGTATGCTAAGGTAAGTAGTAAAATAGATCATATTATCATATAGTTCGCCGATGAACTAGAAGTTGAACTAATTCCTTGACAGACTAGGTATGCCTCTAATTAATTAGAAAATGAGCATTTTAGCCTACAAATTTTGATCAGTTTCTCTTTGATAAAATGCTCTCACATCAACATAATAATTAGTAATGCGCATATTTGCAAACATGATTATTGGATGAAAATAGAGCAGTCTATTTTTCATTGAAAACTACTCAACATCGTCTGCTATTTGCTGTAGGTATGTAGTATGTGTAGTATGAGTGAAAGAAGCGATTTAAACTACCATATGACAATTAAGATCAAAAGAGACAGAAATAGTAACTACAAGTCAGATATTCACCAATATTCAGTCGCGAAAAAAAGCCTAAGGTCATAAATATGTAGAATCAATTTTACATTCAAAATTTGAATCGTTTTTTGTGTCACATTATACAGACTACCCAATAAATTATAACCTCATAGAAATATGTACTTGATATGTACAGTGTGTATCAACGAAAACTTGATCCCTTTAACTCTGTACAGAAGCATTTTCTTATTTAAATCTAAAAAATAGGGCAATTTTTATTTTGAGAGGCACACTGATATCAAAATCGACGTCATTTTCACCCTCATCCCAAAAACTTTAAATGGTATCATGTCAAATGAGTCATGTTTTCATTCTCTATATACCTAACCACATTTTTTTTTAAATGCTTGAACTAGTTTCTGAAAATTGTCGATCCTTTTTTATTCCTTAAAAATTGCACATGGCATCATAATAATAAATTTCTCTTTGGCAGGAATTGAGGAGTAAACCATTGTTCAAAACTTGTACATTAAAATACTAACTTCTATAATTACTGAAGCTTTACTCAAAAATAATAGAAATGAGGTAGAGAGCACAGCTTCAAATACATCGTACTTGTGGCATAATTAATTGTTTCAAACTTAAATATTACCGAAGTATTACTCAAATAGTACTCATTATTACACAAATATTGCTCGACCAAATTACTTCTGTTGTTTCTGTGTCGACTAGAAATTTAGGCAGCTATCTGAGAGCATCACCTTTAAATTTTAAGCATTATTCTATAAATCCAATAGCTTTTGAAATACTGTCTCAAATTAAAGATACCTGAAGATAGAGTTGCCAAATCATTAGTACTAAAAATAAACTATATTTTAGGAATGTCAGTATCAGCCTATTACATATAATAAGAAGGTTAAAACATCCTTTTGCCTTTTTTGTTCAGAATTTGTTTTCTCAGTCTGAGGCCAGAGAATTCAGCTAAAAACCGGAGACTTTTGTTGGAAACCAGATATCTGGTAACTCTCCTAAAATCTGTATAATTAATAGGATTACTGTGTTATGTTTTCAAAAAAATATAATTTATATTAATTTTTTATCAGTTAATTATTTTTTAATAACACTTCTGGTAGATACCTATTTTTTAAGTAATATTAAAAGAAAATGAAACTCAACTGTTCAGAAACTGATTGCCGCAATC